CACCACCTTGATGTGGCATCACCAATGCTGAGCTGAGCTGGTGGAACAGCCTTGAGTCTGAGGGAATACGAACATTTTTTATCCTTAGCTGCTCCAGCCATAAAGATTTTTATCCTATTACGGCTAAGTGACGAGTACAAGGAAAGAAATGATGATGATCTCTGGCAGCCACTCCAACCGAGTAAATACAAGGAGGGAGAAATGGGAGCCCAGGCTGGGCCACTGATCTTTCATTGCCCAGGATGAAAAGGAGCAAAGGAAAAATGTCCTCCCAGGGAGACGTACTGAAGTGTGGAATTTTCCCTCTAGGCAAGCAATAGGCATCCTGCTGCCTGAACCGTTTAGCATAGCACTGGGCTGGGCAAAGGCCGGGAGAATGTGCTGAGGGGAACAAGCACAGCAGCAGCCGGGCCAGGAAGAGGTGACCCCATGGGGCTTTCCAGCCCCAACTCCTTCCAGCCACGGTCCTGAGCTCAGTCCACCCTGCTGCCTGCTCCCCTGAAATCAAAGCAACCCAGTAATAAGTATTGCTGGGCAACAGCAAAGATATACATTTGCTTCATCAAAATACTTCCTCACTCCTAGAGAGGTGTGCCTCCATGGAAGGGCCTCTTGACAGCCAGATGTCTTATGTGTTACTTGGATGATGGCAGATCCAGCTGCTGTCACCAGGATGGGGGTGGGGACAGGACATCAAGAGTGTTTGTAGGGTCAATCCATGATTTACAGACAGTGCGACTCACCCCTTACATTAGATGCTGCCTCTTCCTTACATTGTAAGTTATTTATGGCCTTACCACCACCCCTCTCCCGGACATAGGTGGCCACGACTTATTCCTCCTTGTGGCCCCATAGGACCCAGGCAGTGTCCTGGAAGTGAAAGTTTTCATTGGTGTTAACAGAATTGTGGGCCATGGGGGGTGAGGGAGGGGGGAAATGTAGGGTTAGGAAGCCCTGAGGCAGGCTGGGAGAGCAATGTGTGTTTATGTGTAAATATCTGGGTAGGGAAGACCGACCATGGGAAGGTGAACTGATCTACAATTGCGTGGTGACTTACAGAATGAGGAGGCTTCGAATCCAACTACAGATGAGAAGACATAGCATCCAGGAGAGGAGCAGGGAAGTGCGGAAGGCCATTGCTGGTTACCTCATCCCCACTCCTCTCACAGGCCCTGAACTGGGGAGAGGGAGATACCCAGCCACACCAAACTGTGTCTAAAGGCCGATGACACCAGGTCGCAATTTTAGGTGAAAATGTCAAACGTTATAGAAGTGGTGCGGTGGGTGAGGGGAGGTCGTTAACCCCAAAGGGGGGAATGAATAGGGGACCCAATGGAAACGATGCAGACTTTCCAAACCACCCTGGGTACGGGCTCACTCACTTCACCCCGTGTACCCCTTAAGCCACGGGTTCCATGGGGCAAAGGCCCAAGGGGAAAAATGGCAACTCTGCCCTGCTCCATACAAGGAACGTAAGCAAGCCCTCAGCCTCTCTGGGGCTCCACTCTGAGGCTTTCCGATGCACTAGGCCTTCCAGTCAGCACAGCGGCCCACGGGGGGAAAACCTACCCCGCACATCGCTCCTTCTCCCTGTCCTCACCCCACCTGCTGCATCTTGGATACCCAGGCAGTTCACCCAGCGCCTGCCTCTCCGCAGCACTGCTCTAATGCTCCGCTAATAGTTCTCAGTTTCAGGCGCTGTCCGAACGCGTCCTATAAATCAGAATCCAATTACTGTGGTAAGAAAATTGGAAGTAAGTGTAATAAGCTCAGACCCCTCCCACAGGCTGTGTCTTCACTCTTCTCTTTTCAGTAATGAGAACTTATTTTCCAGGGGAAAAGCCTTTTTCCTTTAACGGATTCTGTTCACCAGATCCCTCATCGGAATACCCTGAGGACGGAAGGGTAGGAGGAAGAGGCGTCTTTTAGCTCCTCTCTCCTCTTTGCACATACGGCAGATGGGAGGGGGAAGTAAATTATCTTTTCATTCTTTCTGGTACTCTCCCAATCATTATTGGCTCAACAACATTTACTGGATTCCTATCACACAACAGGCAATGAGGATATTATCAAAGATCACTCCCCCTACAGGGCAATTGGTGTCATAACTAGTAGAACCTTAGAGGCAAGGCATCATGGGAATAGAAAAGTGGGCCAGTGGGAGGAAAGCCTGTATTGATGGAGTTGGGTCCCACAAAGGAGCCTGGGGTCCAGTGTGGACCAGTGGCCATCTGTCCAGGAGTGGCCCCACAGCAGGAGCTTCTTGGTGAAGGTGATGCCAGCTGCCTGGAGGATGGCTACGTAGAGATTCTGTGGTTGAAGGAACTGGGAGAAGGGGGAGAAGAAGGAAGGAACCAGAGAAGCCACAGCTCTGCACACGACCTGAGACGGAAGTCCTGTCATCTGGATAGAGGGAGAGGGCTGCAGCCTGTGGGGAGGTTGGTGGCCTTATTCCAGGGCCTTTTCTTTCTACTCAAACCCCGAGTCTTCCAGCTAGACCAGGCCACCCATAGACTTCATCTGATCCACAAAGAGTAAGCCGTTGCCCTGTGGTTTCCAAACTTGAGCGCGCATCAGAATAATACCTAATCTCATGCTTGTTAAGTCCCAGGCTGCTAGTCTTACACCCCCAGGGTTTCTGATTCCGTAATTCTGGGAACTAGCTGCATTTCTAACTAGTTCCCAAATGATGCCAGTTGCTGTTGGGCTGCTAGTTTGTGGAACCAACTTTGAGAACTGTTGTTCTGAGTCCTTGCTAGTCACAGTGTGCCCCAAGGACTGGTGGCATCAGCGTTGCCAGGAAGCTTGTTAGAAGTGCAGACCCCAGGCCCTACCCCAGATCTGCCGAATCAGAGAGAAACAATCTCCTTACATGATTTGTTAGTTTGCCTATGTAAGTGTGAGAAAGCCTACCTGACTCATTAGAATCACCTGGGGAGCTTAGACAAGCGACGTTAGCTGGTCCGAGTCTGTGTATCAGCGTTTTTAAAAAGCTGCCATGTGGTTCCTCTACGGAGGCCTGGATTGAAAACTGCTGAGGTTCATGCTTCTGTCCACACTCCACGTCCATACGTATGGGTTTGACTCCACCACTCCCATTTCTCTAGCATTGAACTCAACCTGGAAATGCTCCTCCGTCACTCCCTGCCCATCACCACTCCTGACACTTAGTGATCTTCCTAGTGCTCCTCCCTGATACCTGGGGTGGGGGTGCATCTCTGGCCTGAGAATCTTCAGTTTTCTCAGGAGAGCCACCCCGCTTCCATGCCAGGCCCTGCAGTGTCCGCTTGTTCATATGATTACCCTGTAATAGTGACTACAATGGGCATGCTTTGACATTTACGATGGAGTAGGTAAGTACTTTCCATGTATTTTATTTGATGCTCACACAATTGAGTTCAGTAGGTATCATAATTGTTCTTTTTTAATCCCTATTTTTCAAAAGAGAAAATTGCAATCCAGAGAAGTCCGGCATCGGTGAATGCCCTGAGCCAAGTCCACGGCACAGCCATGGCCGGAAACAGGGTGACCTGACCCCAGAGTCTGCATCCTTCACCCCTGGGCTGAACTGCCTTCTGCTTGGTTCTGCCTTTGGGCATCAAAGCAGGGCAAAGTCAGTACAGAGCGGGGAGGCTGGGACCACAGAAGGATTCAGGTCTTAGATGGTGAGTTTAATCTCATGAACACAGGTTCCCTGGGAGGCAAGGGTTGGAAATGGGAGACCCTATAGATATAGGTTAACCCGAAATGGGGCCCATTTGAGGAAAGAGCACCAGGCTTTGCTGGCAGTCTCCGGAATGTCCAACCCCACAAAAATGTTATGGGCACAATCAGCCCTTTACCACTCAGCCTGGAGATGGCCTATCCAACTGATGGCCTCTCACGGTGCTAGCCTGGGGCTTTGCACATGTAGGTGCTCAATACCTCTGCCATGACTGCCGAGTCCCAGGTGCTTGCCCTTATTCCCAATCCCCTGTCCTCTCCCCTTCCTGCTCTTCCAGATTAGGATCCATTAAGTCTGAAATGCTCTGAGTAACACGAGCCCAGCTCCCGCAGGGCAAGGTTAGTGTCCCGAGGATGACATATGGCTGGTTCACTTTTCCTTTTTGTCTTCCAAAAAGGGTGTCTGGATTTCATCTGAAACCTCTCTCCTCCTCTTGCTGTGATCCCAGCAGATCACACTCCTGAACAGATGGAACTCACTGGGTTAGTTGCCCAGGTCTGGGCCAGGGGAACTTAGGGATCTTTGGGGACAGGCTCAGTTCTTCAACACCCCCTCGCCCCCTCCAGACATCTGGCCTTTGTAAAATTCTCTCATTTCTGCTTCTCAGATCACAGAAGAGGTGAACACAGAAACTCATCCTGCTCGGGGTTTCTTGCGTGTGTGCCCATTCAGGGAATTCCCCAGGCCTCCCTGCTGCAGGGGAGTGCATTCAGGGGCACGTCCCCCAGGGCTCCCACCTAGAGGCACCGGCTCCTTTCCTGGCCCGGAGGCAGCTCTCTGCCCCCCTCTGGGCTTGGCATCTGGACTCTGGACAAGAGAGGGACCACCAGACTGAGACCCAGTGGGGCTCCTCAGCATTCCGTCCCCTCCCCCTTCCCTGTTCTCCGATCTGTAATCTCTGCTCAGGGAAATCAATAGCCTAATGTTCAAATAAAATTCTGTCAGACACCAAGGACCAGGATCAGTGCCAGGGGCTTTTAAAAGACTCTTGACTTCAAGAAGCATTCAGGCCAGTGGCAGGGGCTGTTCTAGGTAGAGTCCATCCCCTGGGTCTCTATCCTGCTGCCAGGGAAAGGGGCCATCTACCCTCTCACAACCAGGAGCAGTGCAGACTGTGTAAATGACCACATCATACGTAAATCCTCTAGCAACCAACTGGCAGCAAATGGTTTGCCTGCCCCAGCACTTGGCACCGGGCACTGCAGAAAGCAAGCCTGCTGTGCATGTGTCATGACCGCAGGGAGGGGGGGAGAGAGTGGCAGAGGAGGAGGAATACCTCAGGTGGCGAGTGTCCGGGATGGCCCGGTTGCTGGCGATCCGCTCGCTCTCCCGCTGGTTGAAAGCGTACAGCTTATAGGGGTCGTCACCCACGCGCCACTTTTTGGCATTCAGATACCGCCGCTCATCGAACTGGTCCCACAGGTCATCCCAGTCAGCATCCAAGATCTGTGTGACATGAACGGGAAGTCTGTGAGAATGGCTCCCGGCCCTCTACCAGCCCCTCCGTCTGTCTGTCAGTGCCCAACCGCGGGGACCAGGCTTGTTCTGTCTGGGAAGGGTTAGCTCAAAGATGAGGCCAGGGGTAGGACGTTGATAAAACTCTCAGCAACAAAATAAACAGAACGACCATAGGGCAGCCTCTGTTTTCTGAGCACTATACAGCAGGTGCTGTGCCAGGACTGTCACTCACGTGGCTTTGTGTATTTCTCACAGAGGTTCTATGAGATGAAAACTGCTCACATTCCCGTTATGCGGGAAAGGAAACAGCCTCCCCTGGCTAAGGGTCTTGCCCAACATCCCACACTTAGGAAATGAACTTCAGCATCCGGCCTCCAGAGACCGCTTCTCCATGGTCATTTGAGAACACACGACTGAAACTGCGGGCACTGTAGATGGCACATAGTAGGTACACAATGAATGTCATCCCCGTAGGAAGGCAGTGACGACAATTAGGCAATCCAGTAAAGTGGTGTGCTACTGCCCTGGTCGGTGTAGTTCAATGGTTAGAATGTCAGCCTGTACACAAAAGGGAATCAGGCAGCTGATTTCAGGTCAAGGGCACGTATCTAGGTTACAGGTTAGATTTCCATGTAGGAGGCAACCAATCAATGTGTCTCACATCAATATTTCTCTCTCTCTCTCTCTTTCTCTCTCTCTCTCTCTCTCTCTCTCTCTCTCTCTCTCTCTCTCTCTCTCTCTTCCTTTCTCTCTCTCTTTTCCTCTCTCCCTCCCTTCCACTTTCTCTAAAAAGTAATGGAAAAAATACCCTTGGGTGAGGATTAAGAATAATAAATAAATAAATAATAGAATTGTGTGCTACCCACTGAACAGACACCCTATGTGTTCCTTTCTTTCTCCAACCTAGGAATCTGTGATTATTTATTTATTTTTTGTTAATCCTCACTGGAAGATATTTTTTCTTTTGATTTTTAGAGAGCATGAAAGGGAACAAGGGATGGAGGAAGAGAAGGTGAAGGAGGAGGAGAAGGAAAGAGAGAAACATCAGTACTAGTGGATTTTAAAAGGAGAGAGGCACATCAATTGATTGCCTCCCACGTTTTCATCTCATAGAACCTCTGTGAGAAATACACAAAGCCACGTGAGTGACAGTCCTTTGCAGGGCCGGAGATCGAACCTGCAAACCAGGTATGTGCCCTTGACTGGGAATTGAACCCATGACCCTTCAGTGCACGGGCCGATGTTCTAACCATTGAAAAACACTGGCCAGGGCTGTGATTCTTTTTGAGAAGCACTGATGGGGGAGCAAGTCATAACCCTCACCATATGGGAAGCAGCACTTTAGAAGGTAGAAGGTGGTTCCCTTATTCATGATCTCATTTCATCCTCCCCCAAACCCTCCGCACTGAGTGGGGAATCAAGGTTTCCACAAAGGTGACCGGCTTGTCTGAGGTCGCCCAGGTGGAGAGTGGCAGAGCCCATAGCAGAGCTCATTCTCCTGTGCCCTCCGGAGCATTTGCATAGCGGAGGAGGAGAGGAGATTTCCACCGGAGGGGAGGCCTCCCTGCCTCATCTGCCCCACCCACACCAGCCTCACAGCCAACAGAGCCTTCTGCAAAGCCAGCAGGAGTGCGGGCTGCAGGGCCTCAGCAGCTGCACGCTTCCCTTGTCCACCAGTAGCTCTGTCACCCCGAGGTGACAGCCAGTCGGTATCCAACCAAGCTCAGACCTTTTAGGCGCACCAAAGTCAAAAGAACACGGAGTCTCTGGGAAGAACCTATTGACGAGGTCTGACCTGGAATCCAGCGGGGGAAAGCGGAGGGGATTGGGGGAAGGGAGCGCTGGGGCCCTGGGTCTGGCTTCGTACCTAGGATGAGATGCTCATTCGGGTGCTACAGAGCCTAGTGGCTGTGCAAGTATCCAAAGCTGCCCAGGCACCACCCATCCATCACAGACCAGCACGCCCTTCTTCACTGGGGAACCTGACGGAGGCCCAGAGCAGGTGCGCAGACAGCAGCGCAGGTGCCTGGCCCTCGCATGGCAGGTAAGGGGCCGCTTGCCAGCGCGCCCATGTACCTCGGGCTCCACTCGATCTTATCTGGTAATTGATCTCCCTTTCTCTCGTTATCTCCTTTGCAAACAGCATTCTCCTGCTAATAGCACAAAATGAAGCTTTAGAAAGCAGTGATTTTTATCCAATAATTGAATTTACTAATGTCCTGTGATACTGTTCCAACAGAGGGGGACGTTGGTTGGAGGGGTGTGCTGTGCAATGCCACAGCCTGACAGCTGTGCTTGGAACTCACCGTGGGGCGTCCCGACCTCCCAGTTTCCAGGCAAGGACCATGGGGTCCGGATCCACTTCCTGCTGGCTCGTGTCCGATTTGATTCCTTGCAATTCGCTAATATGCTGCAAGGCCCCACAGCGCTCTGTGCCCCGAGGGGGCGCCTCTAACAGGCATGAGCGGAAATGGAAGGGCTTCCTGGAAGAAGTGTCAAGTGAGCTAGAGCTAGAGGGCTGGGCAGGAATGTTGCTCTGTGTAAGGGGAGATGGGGAGGGAAATACGTGTGCAGCGAAGGTCCAGAAACAAGGCAGGGAGGCCTGGAGGAGGAAGATCTGCTCAGGGAATGGCAGCTCGGGAATGGGAGGCCAGAGTGGGACGGCAAAGAGCAGGAGTGAAAGAAAGCTCCGGAACGCAGTGGGACTTGTCTGAAGCAGGTCAGTGGACAATGTCTCTGGCCACATGGGGGGAAGGGAGCTCCCGCAGGAGGCCCCTGGGAGGTGACCGCAGTAAACTTACCTGGTGGGGAGGGCAGCCTGAACGGGGGCCCTGCTGGGGCCCAGATGGATGGGTCCAGTGTCAGCGAGAGAAGCAGGTGGAGAGGGCAGGCAGCCAGCCTCTTGGCCTCGTCCCCTATTCTCTGTTCCCACTAGACCAGGCCCAGTGCCAAGAGGGCACAAGACTGGTGACCTGCTCAGCCTGGCAATCATAAGCCTCCTTGGCAGAATCTGCCTCCTGGGAGATGCTGCCATGAGAACTCAGTGGGGTTCTGGCACCTGGAGAGCCTGGAGCCAGAGCCGCAGCCAAGCTGGCCAGAGAGATGGCCTGAGCAGTCAGGGCTAAGCTGTCCTTGGCGGGGGAAGGGAGGAGCTGCTCCCTCACATGGTCACCTGTACAGAGCTGGGCCACACTCTTCTGCTCTGAGATCCACAGGGGAACACCCTGCAGGGAGAGAGAGCTTCCTATCACAAATACCTGGACACATTAAATAATGGTGAACCTGTGTGTAAAATTAAACCACTATCACTTGAGTGGCAATTTGTTTTTGTTTTGTTTTTTTTTAAATATATTTTTATCGATTTCAGAGAAAAGGGAGAGGGAGAAACATCAAAGATGAGGGAAAATCATTGATCGGCTGCCTCCAGCATGCCTCACACTGGGGACTGGACCCTCTACCCGGGCATATGCCCTCCCTGGGAATCGAACCTTCTAGTTCACAGGCTGATGCTCAACCACTGAGCCACGCCGGCCAGCCAGCAATTTCTGTTTCACAAAACAGCCTGCACAACTGTCACCAAGTCCGCACACAAGCTCATTGGTACAGGGAGGGGTCGGCTTACAGAGAAGTCTGGTGGCTTGCCCAAGCTTGACAGCTAGTTAGTGAAGGGCCAGCTGAGGGAATCCTTCCCAGACATCCCAGGGCCAAGGTCTGCTCTGTCTTCTCACGGACAGAGATGAGGGGCATCTTCTCTGCTGAGGGTGAGTGGGCAGAGAACCCCCCTGAGGGTCAGTTGGGGGCATGCCCATAGGAAAGGTCAGCCACCTTTTTCCGGCTTGCCCCAGCATAGACTTGCTGGGGGCCTCCTGGGATTTGGGGAGGGTCACTGACTCCCCAGGTACTTCCAGTACAGTGTGGGGTTGGCTACCAAGCTCCACAATTCAAGGCCCCAGGACCAGCATCTGAGTGTCCAGAGAGAGCGCAGTACATCGCACCCACTTGCTTCCTGTCTCATGTGACCATCCAGGAAAGCAACTGAACGGCCCTTACCCTTCACAGACCTTCCCGGTGCAAGGAGCCATCCTCCTCCGGGACATGAGCGCACACTCCAGGCACCCCCACGGGGCCGCCCCAGCACTGTGCCCACTCCTGGGTGGCCCTCACCACCACCCATGCCCCCGAGCAAGCCCCCACTTAGCTTTCTAACGATAATCTATTCATTTTAAGGGGGTGGGGGGTGCCAGACGCTAAGTACGATGCCACAAGTGGAAAACAGCCCTTTAAACAGAAAATATCTGATTAAGTCAGCCAAACCCCTGACCAAGATTGCAGCTTACACAACTTGGCTCTGAAAACGAAAGCTCAAAAGCACATCTGTTAAGTTGCTTCATTTCTCTGCTCCCACCATGCTTCCAAGAGAAATCTCAACTTCCTTTTCCTGGCCTGTTTTCTCTCACTCTGGTTTCAAGCTGATATTTGGCTCAGAAACCATGGTAGTAAGGCTTCCCTTCTGTTCAGTTTTGAAGTGCCTCGGTTTCCCACTGCTTCCATTCCCTCCCCTCCCCCTTATCCCAAGCTGGGTTCTACCAGTTCTTCTGTATTGTCCTAATTCTCTCCCTTTACATCTTTAAAACAAGAACACCTCTATCTATTCATAAGGCTTCGATCCTATACTGAACTGTGCAGATCCTGAATAAAAACTTCTCAAACCTGCCCAATAATAAGACAGCTCACACCTCGGGGTTCCTATCATGTGTCATCAATATTTACATTTAATTTCCACAATCACAGATGTCGAAAGCACTGTCCCCATTTTATAAACGAGGGAAACTGAGGCACAGAGAGATGGAGTCACTTGCCCCGTGTCACCGATGAAGCACGTGCTGGAGCTGGGATTTGAACTCGGGCAGCCCGGCTCCAGCTCCCATGCTCTCAGCCACGAGGTGGCAATGCCTGTCACAGCCTCACTACCACTTTCTTGGGTCATC